ATAGTTACAATTGAAAAATTTTAGTAGTATTTCCTGTAGCAATCAAACTAAAATCTTTCCTGTAGCAATCAAACTAAAATATTTTAATTCCTGAAGCCTCAATCTATATTTTCCCTTTGGAAGCCACCTTAACTCAAAAAAATAAATCATTGTGAATATCGTAGTTAGTTGTTAAAACACAGTTCTACCTATCCTAAAACTTTCATGCTTGCAAACACTGTACAGCAATTTAAGATAAGGAAGAGATGCCCGGCCAGCGTGGCTCAGCGGTTGAGCGTCGACCTAGGATCCAGGCGACCGGGGTTCGATTCCCAGTCAGGGCACATGCCCGGGTTGCGGGCTCGATCCCCAGTTGGGGGCGTGCAGGAGGCAGCCGATCAAGGACTCTCTCATCATTGACGTTTCTCTCTCTCTCTCTCCCCCCCTCTCTTTTCCTCTCTCTGAAATTAATACAGACATATTTAAAAAAAAAAAAAGAGAGAAACTGAAAAAATTAAAAATCAGGAATTTCTCTTGTAAAACTATCCAAAATGTTGATGATTTTACAAATTGGTAATATTAAGATATTTGAAGCTGGTAAAAAAGGTTGCTAGTATCTGCTATTTGGTACACTAAGACAAATGAGAAAAAAAGTTCATCTGCAACCATGCATTATTTAAAATCAAGATTAAATATAAATTAATCCAGCCCTTCAAATATGAATAAGCAAGGCTACTTTAGATATAAAATAAACTTTGAGGTTTGGATTGAAGAAGAGCATCTCAAAAGAAAAGTTAAATAATACTGCACTTTCAAACGACTAAAAACTTTATCACCTATTTATATAAAGAATGTAGTATCTGCCATGTGGTGTAAGCTTTTTGAAGATAAGGATTATTGTCTTGTAAAACTCTGCAACTTTTAAACACTTAATATAGTGCTTTGCATATAAGAAGATATCCTAAATAAGTAGGTATGACACTAATAGTCCTCAGTGGTTCACTCGTCATGTTCAGCACAATCTATCTTTCCTTTCTCGGTCCTCATTCTATTCTTTGAGAATAATTTTTCAACTAAGAAAAGATCCTTACTTTACTTTGCAGTTAACAAGACATGTCTCTTTGCTTTAAAATGAAGTCTTTAGTTTTAGTTCTTCAAAACCTAGGACACACATTTCAATTTGTTTTCCTTTAAGTCCCTTATGTATGATAGATACAGTAAGAATATGCTTAGGACATAGGGATTATGGCTTGAAAAACATTAACTGGGTTTATAAACAACATAAAAGAAAGAAAATTCTTTGCTACTAGCCCTCAAGTTCAAGTTGTGTGTTTTTTAAGAACTAAGGAACCTGTGATATAAATAAATATAACTGTCAAGTATATCATATTTCTACTTTTTATTTTTTTAAATATATCTTTATTGATTTCAGAGAGAGGAAGGGAGAGGGAGAGAGAGAGAGAGAGAAACATCAATGATGAGAGAGTCTTTGATCGGCTGCCTCCTGCACGCCCCCAACTGGGGATCATGTGCCCTGACCGGGAATCGAACCCCGATCGCCTGGATCCTAGGTCGATGCTCAACCGCTGAGCCACGCCCGGCCGGGCTCTACACTTCTGATTACATCTTTTATTTGCTGGATTTGCCAGCTGTGAAACAGAAAATTCAGTACTTATAATCTGTCTAACTCAGTGATACTCTACTGAGCAAAAATACGGTCCTGTGTCAGTCTGCAAACTCTTAAACATACATGCTCTCAAGACCAAGACAACTGAGAATCAGCAGAAGGCAAAAGTGTTAAAGCCACACAGACTAAAAGAAACCAAATATAGGAAGACTCAGTCCTTTTGTATATGTCCATCAAATATAAAAATACAACTTTCTAAAAACACCTACGCCCTTTGCTTTGGGCAATATTTATTGAATTGTTAAGTGAATCCACTTAAAATTATCTAACCAGAACTGAGAAAACTCTGTAATGAATATAAATGTTACAAATATATACTTAAAACTGCCACAGCTTTTTGATTACTTATTAAAATGCTGTTAAAACACTTGTTTCACTATGCATCTATATACCTATGCCTAAAATTTTGAAACAAAAGAAATTTGTTAAAAACAAACAAAACCTTTGTGGCTTCAAAGACTTAGTAGAGAAGGAAAACTTCAAACAAAATCCTTTACTCTAGTAACAAACAATTATGTATTTGAAAAACTTGATTAAAAAATAATGAATCTCTTTGTAGCTTGGCTGTTGCTTAAGCCTTGAAAATTTTCAAGAGAAGAAGTAAATGGTACTATGTTGAGAGTACTAAAAACCTAAGACAGGAACAATTACACAGACTAAAAAGACCATTTTTGTCCTGATGGTAGGGAAAAGGCAAAAATACAAAAACATCTTACTGTCTATGATGTTATGATCGTTTTTTAACATTTGTGACTTAAGTTCCTTGAGAAGTACATATTTTATTATGAAAATACTTTAAATGTTTATTTTATGCTAATGTGTGGCAGTGCCATAAAATTCTAGAGCTGATTATGAAACTATTTAAGTTATATTAAGTTTTATTCTGGATCAATACATTTAGAGTATTGATGATACAATAACATGCAACAAATTTACACTTTCTGGAAAAGAATTAAGTGAAACAGATCTAAAGCTGATCAGAATGTATCGTAGAAAAGCTGCAAGTATGTCCAAGTTGAGAAGGAACATATTAAAACCATTTTTTGGCTTGCTATACATTGATAGAGTAGAAACTTATGCTATGGTCAAATCTAATTATAAATGCCTATATTGATAGGTTTTATTTTAAGTTTCTTTATCTTTATTGTTGAGAATATCACAGATGTCCCCTTTTTATCCCCATTGATCCCCTCTCACCCCACATCCATCCCACCTCCCCAGGATTTCCCCAGACCAGTGCCTGTGTCCATGGGTTATGCTTATAAACATGTAAGTTCTTTGATTAATCTCTCCCCACCCACTTCCCCCTCCCCATCTTCCCTCTGAGATCCGTCAGTCTGTTCCATGCTTCTGTGTCTCTGGATCCATTTTATTCATCAGTTTATTTTGTTCATTATATCCCACATACGAGTGAGATAATGTGGTACTTGTCTCTCTCTGTCTGGCTTATTTCTCTTAGCATAATACTTTCTAGTTCCCTCCATGCTGTGCCAAAGGATAAAAGATCCTTCCCCTTTACAGCTGCATAGTATTCCATGGTGTAAATGTGCCACAGCTTTTTTATCCACTTATCTACTGATGGGTACTTGGGTTGTTTCCAGATCTTAACTATTGTAAATTGTGCTGCTATGAACAAAGGGGTGCATAAGCTCTTTGTGATTAGTGTTTCAGGTTCCTTTGTCAAATATTAATTGACCATAATGGCATGGGTCAATTTCTGGGTTCTCTGTTCTGTTCCACTGATCTATATGTCTGATAGGTATTAAAACTCCCTTTTTGGCAAAAATTATTTTGAGCAATTTTTGGGACAGGAATTCCTGTTCAGTTCAATAATTTGAACAATGTTTTGGAGTTGGCTGAAAAAAGATATCATCCAATATTCGTCAACTTCCTACTATCTTTAGATATCTTTAGATTTCTGAGAACCTTGCTACCTCAAAATCACATTAGGTACTTATCCATTTCAGCTTCAAAAGCTCATTAAACTTCACAGACTCATGAACTTGATATAATGGGATGTGATTTTCCTTACCTAAGTTCATTAGAAGGAAATAAACCAAGTAATTTGGAGAAATGATATGCCAACTTCCAATCATTCAAACAAATCCAACTCCTCATTACAACCTTTAAACAGATAACTGTCTAGGTCAAGTATGAAAATAAGCAGTTCAGCAACTAAAAGACTGAACATTATTGAGACCAAAATTCAAGCTAAAATGATTTAAAATCACTTTAAAGTAAGTTTAACATAATTTCCCATACTAAAATGCACCATCCAGGAAATAATTTAGAAATATATACCTATTACAGAAAGAAAGGATATCAACAGTGTAAGTCAAGTCACATCTAGGTCTGCCTCTGGATACCATGCATCATTTGCAATGCACACATTATAAGGGTATTTATAAATTGTACATACTTGCATGCATGTGATAAAAAGAAGCTATCCACAGAGGGAAACAAAATCAAAATTACTTTTTTTTTTTTTCAATCCTCACCTGAGGATATTTTTTTCATTGCTTTTCACAGAGTGGAAGGGGGAGAGAGAGAGAGAAAGAGGGAGAGAAACATCGATGTGAGAGAGACACATCGACTGGTTGCCTCCCACAGGCAACTCGACCAGGGCAGGGATCAAGCCTGCAGCCAAGAAACATGCCCTTGACCGAACGGGAGCCCAAGAACCTTCAAGTCCAGAGACAAATTGGCTAAGACTCAAAATTACATTTTTGATTCTCTAGACATTATACATTATTTATAATGTGTATGTCATAAAAATATTAAATAAATTTGAGCACAATGTCTCTTAAAATAAAAAAACTTTCCAATCTCAATTAGAGAGATAAGTTATCAGACAATAATTATAACTATTCATAGAAACCCTCTTAAAATATCATTTTACATAAAGGCGGCTTTCAATGGTACTCTCGAGGAGCAACACTTATTTTTAAGCAAAGTTAATACTTAAAAATAAAAAAAATTTCTTTAACCAAAGCAAACAGCATTGTGCAATGACAATCTGGTTGCAGCTTATAACGACTTTGCTCACAGGACTCCTGGGTATTCTGCTTCCACATTCACCACGGCAGGCCTACACAGTCAGAATATACACTAGTGGTTTTATAGGTATCAGGACATTTTGGTTAAAATGTGAACATGATAATTAGGTTTAGTTTCTTAGGCTAGAAAAAATGTAGTAGATTAATATAAAGTTGCTGTTCTCAGTGGGATTATGAAAATAAACCTTCAAAATTTACCCTGTGAGTTTACTGAGTAAAGAATGAAAATTAAAGAGAAAAAAATAGCAGGGTTTACCTTCAAAAAAGTGACAGCTTACCTGATATGCCATTCTTGCTGGTGTTCAATAAAGCTACAGATGCTGCAGAAACCCTTTTATTGTTCACAGTCTGCCCTGGTTTCCTTGAGGTACATTCTTCACTATCACTGTCCTGTACATTTAGGAGCCTTGGCTGGAAACACTGTAGTCGACATGATCTGATATTGCTTAATATTTCAGAAAGGGACAGTCTATTTTCACAATGTTTACTGGAAGCATTGGTCCGAGAGAAATTAGAAGAAAAGTCTATAGTTTGGGAAGAGCTTGAAAACCCACTCAGCATTTCAGGGTCTATCTGTTTCAGGACTGGGTCATACTCTGTGGATATTCGGTCCATTATGACCCTGAAAAACAATATAAAACCAAATATTACCTGGAAGAACTTAACATTTTCCTATACTTTTCCTTCCAGCTTGTAAACAAAATCCAGGTCAAAACAAATAGTTTACCTTCCACCTCTGCCAATTCGTCTCCTTGCAAATCCTATACATCTTCTTGGGACTGTGAGTGTCGTAAGGCAATGCCTATACCTCAACTTATCCAAATCTGCCAATTCTGAATTTTCCAGTGAATGGTTAACTTGGTCCAAACGAGGCTGCAAAGAAAGAAAAAATATTAAAACTCATGCAGTAAATCTGAAATGAAGAAAAGCTAAATTATGATAAAAATAAAGTAACTACAGCATTAGCAAAATAATTAAAATTTAGATTTAGAAATTCAAATTGAATTTAGTTTATAAATATAAACACATTTAAGGTATATTTTTAAAAAGAAATATATCTTTAAAGAATAATATGGATTTTAACATTTATGTGAAAAAAGCAGAGATAGTGAAGTTAGTAATTTATAATTTTCCAATTGAGATAAACCAGAGGAAAATTTTTTGAACCTAAAATTGCACTTCAAGCATGCATGGTCAAACTGACACATCCTCTTTGCTTTTAAGAACATAAAGTCCATTTCTTTGCCTTTGCATTCCCTTTATTATTCTGCTTTTCTTTCTTACCACTTCTGCTCCTTTCATAATAATTTCCCTCTTCTCTCATCAGCGTAACTTGTAAACAACTCCCTACCTCTTCTACATTAAACACACACACCCTGAAAAAGTTGTATGTTGACCATAATACAACAAGGCAAAGGGCTTCCACAAGCTATATATGAAAGTCATCCCCATAACTCTACAGTTATACTTTACCTGAAAACCCAAGCATTTGGGAGTGAGGGTCACTCTTTGATATAATACTGCACTGAAACTTCACTTAAAAGCACAAAGTAATTTCTAAGTGTGTCAAAAAACTATGAATATAATGACTAGATAAAATACTGCCAAAGGAAAGTTTAAAAATGATTCCTTTACGTTTGGTACTCACTGGATATGTATGCACAAGATGGGCTTGCCTAAGAGTAAATTTCAATGAACACTTGGCAGTCATCAAAGGTTCAATTAAGACATTCTGGGCTTACCTAACTCCAACAATGACACAGTGAGTAATTTTCATAACTGCTGAGCTATAGCAACAGTTAAAGCCCAAAGTGAGACTAGATTTCTAAAATATGAGTCATCAATTTCCAAGCGAAAGATTCTGATATCTATTGAAAGAACTCAGTACCTTTGAGCATCTTTTACTGGTATCTCCACCAGGGATATTAAATAAAAAATGCTGATGTGTTTCCCGTTTTTAGATTAAGACTAAGTCACACTGGCAAGAGTTACCTGTTAATTTCAGTTCACAAAAATACCACAAAAAATAAAGTTCTTACAGCATAATACTGGCATCCTGCTCGCCTCCTGAAAGCACAGGGACCATCAGGATCATTTTCTTCTTCAGGTTCTGATACTGGGGATGGTACCTGAAAAGTGAGGAACCAGGCATTCTATTCAGGAGTTATTAAAAATCAATAGATAAATCTTTGTAATCATCTAAAATTAGAATATGATCATAAACAGTAAATCACTCCTGTTTTACATACACTAGGGAGTGAACTCGACCAAACATTTAAAAAATTTCTATGGCTAGAAAATGATTGTTTTTAATGGATTAGTTCTTGCAGGTAAGTTCACATGGTATTGCTTAAGTGTTTCTGAACATGTAAGCATTACAGACTTAAAAAGAATTAGTACAGTTTTTATATATTCCCCTTGTATTTTGTAAATAACGTATGTGGCCATAAATACTTTATGATAGTTATGTTTTACCAATAGATAGATGTGTTTTTATCTCTGCAATAAAGGCAAAAACTAGTAAGTAAAACAAAACTTATGAATAGTCTCCCCTAAGCCCAAGCCGTAAAGACCATATGTTTTACTCAAAGAGGAGTCCCTTATTTCCCCACTCATTTTTTTAAAAATCACTTTTTAAACTTAGCAAATCAGAAGCAGAAAATTAGAAGAGGAAAGAAGATTTGCTAAAAGGTAGGCAGACTGGTTGCAGAGGGAAGTGATAAACACACCACTTGACAGCAAAAGAATAAATGAAGACCTGTCCCATATTAAAAAGCATTCTGCATGGGACCTTGTGACATTGGGTGAAATGCCCATATAATCTGAGTAGAACCCTAGCCAGCACTGATACATTACAGAGCACTTTATAAATGTCAACCAAAACAGACTAAATGGTATATAAATATACTCTGATATGGCAGGGAAATAATATGGTTTACATAAACTTCCACTCATAATGGTTAAAATTAAAATTAAAAAAAAGTTTTGGTACTTAAGTTTCAGTTGTCTCTCAATTTCAATTGGAGTACATCTCTTTTTCTGACAACGCTGGCTCATACTTATTTACTTGCAAATTTCTGAACCTCACAAATCCCTCTCTTCCTGTTTTGAGAGGAAAAATGTTTTCTCCACATTATTTCCAAACTGTGGTAATTACCACTGAGCAGGGTCATCCAGGGGAGAAAGGCATTTGTTTGAGGTTCCAATATACCTCCACCAGCCCTATGGGGGAGACACAGAAACAGTAAGCTAGGGCTGATTCTTCTTCCTGGGGAACCAAGTCTCAAACCGAAAACTTGAAAGGAAATCCCAAATGTGAATTTTGTACTTTGGTTCCTTTGCAAATCATCTACCTCTTCTAAAATGCACAAAGAAAGTATCACAAAGTCTTAGGAATTCTTTGCATAAAGTATACCACCCCTTCCTCCCAACCACCATTCCCTAGGAGTGGATTTCAAGATTTGGTTTGAGATATAAGAAGAGAGAGAGCCATTTTAGGAAAATCAGAAGCATGATCAAGAAGAGACAGGCTTTTTAGCTCTGCTCTGCTGAGAACTTAACCAGTGGTAAGTCTGGTTAAAATGTTTGTTCTCTTAAGGCTTCCTTTTTCCTTGTTTATTAAACAAAGCAGTAGCATGAGATTATTTTATTGATGTTTTTTACCAGTGAAATCCTGATTCTGTAAGAGCTACTACATTCTAAATAGTTGCCTCACTGAATGATGTCCGACTATAGGTAAATACTTACTTTAGCAATATAGCGATACCATTGTAAAAATTAATGAGGGTTGTTAAAAGACCTAGTACAAGGGCTCAGAGGAACCTAAAAGTTTCAAAACACAATTTTCATGTGATAATTTCCCAATATGTACAATGTAGATGGAGGCCATCTGCTATCTGGGTAGTACCCCAGGCACCATCCTGCTCACCTTTCCTCCCTTTTGTGCTTTATGCTCCAGCAATGGCAAATTGCTAGCAGTTCCCTCTAATACACTGTTTTCTCTGCCTAGAACCCTACATGTTCTAACTCAAAAACTACTATTACTTAGGACACTATTTCCCTCACTCTTTCAATGTGGTTATTTAATTAATGCTTCATAGCTATTCAAAGCCCTGCCTAAGTCTAACTGGATGATCCTCTGACAAAAGTAATGAATTACTTCATTAAGTGCTTTTCAAGAGCATACTACATTACACACATCTTTGTGCATTGGTCACAATGCATATGAATGCTAAAATATTATCTGGAGTAAAAAACTAAATCAGTAACAAAAGAGTATAAAATATAATCTAGCCAAAGCACACATTTTATGTAAACTCTAGATTTTTAAATAGTTACAATAAAGGGTTTTGTAAGCAGTCTTGCTTCCAAATATATCTATGACGGTGATTTAAAAAAAAATTATTTTAAAGCAAGTAAGTCACAATGTTAAAATACGATAAAGCTGTTTGTTACTATATTCTCTTTAGGTTGCCTATACCATACAGAAAAGGAGAAAAAAAGGATATTGCTAGACCAGGTGCTAAACAACTGTTTAATTGATCCTTTAATATACAAAATAAAGGTCTTGTTTTAGAAGTAACACGAAAGTAAAATTAAGATTTTAATTGTAAACATTTTTCTATAAAACTGTTGCAGTATAAACCAAAGAATTATCTTCACAAGTTAAAACTTGAACGAGTTCTTCTAAATATTCTTTCTAATAAAATAGTTACTGCCAAACAAATTAGCAAAATTAACCTTGAAAGTTGTAAAATACAATGCTGGTAGGATATGGTAAAAAGAGAGTTATTGTTCGTGAATATTTACAGTTACATATTAAATGTCTTAAAATACTGATAATCTTTGGTTCAGTAATTCCATTTCTTATAATCGATTTTAAATAGAGGGAAAAGATAGAGATGCTCATTTTTATAAAAGGGAAAACTGAAAACCACCCAAATTCTCCATAACCCAATAAATTCTATCCTACTGATGAAAAATAACAAGAAATAAAAACCATTTCAGTGGCTTTATAAATAATAGGGACAATGCGTATGCTATACCATTAGGTGAAGAAAGCAAGAATTAAAACTCTAAGATGTCAATTACGTTTTAAAATATAGCAATATAAGAGTCTAGAAGGAAATGTTTTTAAAATAGTTTTAAAACAAGCACCTGTGGAAATTCATCTTCATCTGAGCTGTGAAAGTCATATTGCTTAATGTCACTCTTATTGATCACAGGCAATGTCTCAGGAGTGGGTTGCTGAGATGTTATCAAAGCCTCTGCTTTAGGCTTCTTTGGGTACTTCTTCTTTTGACGAACCACATCAGAAGCCTCTTCTTTCAAAGACAAATGATGAGGGTGCTGTTTACATGACGATTTTTCCCCCAAAGGAAGAAATGAAAATCATTTTAGAAATCATGATAAACTATACTGCTCTTTGAAAAACATACATTTTTACCCAGGAGGTGATTTTATTTACTGTTTTTATTATGCAAAAGTTATTGTGATCATAAATTTAAAAATGTTTTACTTTCTGTAAGTTATGATAAAAAATAATTATGGTACTTAAATTTGCTTTACATATTGTTATTAATGCTTAAACTAAGGTGTTAGTGATTTTAAAAAACTGCTCTGTAATTATGCAATCCAGCATTTAAAAAGTATTTAAGTTCAATTTTAATTTTATTTAAATCTACTGTACTAATGACGAAAATTTATTACTATTTTTATTTTAGAAATAACTTGAATTAGATTGTGAATTCATTTCTAGTCTAATTTCAATTTTTAAAAACTGTCGATTTTTTTGAGGGGGGGGAAAGCTGATTAACTTGAAGAAAAAGTCACTTTTTAGAATATGTAATTACTGCCTCCACTGAACAATAATCAGACTGTTCTCAAGTTCCCCAGAGTTTTGTGTTGGTACTTCAGAGGCCATCTGGCCAAAAGACTGGGCTGAGGGGGTGGGTTTCCAGCCCCCACCTCTCTTCAACAGAGCAGCTCTGTTTCTGTTTTAACATACTGGCACTCCTTTTAATAAAAGGGACCTACCACTTTAAAAAGTCTGAAAATGACTGTTCTAAGCACCAAAGTATAAGCAATATGAAAAGTGTAAAAATATTTAGAAAGTTATCCATTTTCCCATGTAGCCCAGATTTTTGTTAAAATTACTTTACGGTCAAAATGGTACACACAATGAAAATGTTGTTTAAATGCCCAATTACTTAGTGAGATATAAACTGTTTCATACAAAGGGTATAGTTACAACACCAAAAAGAAAACCCCCAACTTCTTTTTAAGGTGGGACATGTGACAAAGTACATACAATTAACTATGTGTAACAGGGTAGAGCAACAATGGATGTAACCATGTATCTAAAAATAGGATTTAAATAGGCTGAGTGTTTAGTCTTAGAGATGATCTAAAGAATCAATATATAACAAAGACTGATTCTGTCAGTAATTTTGGGTTGAGATTTTCATATTCTTTGCCTGCCAATCACATACCTAGGAAAAGCACTGATTTATAAAGTGGATTTAAAAAATAACTTTAAAAATGACATTTATTGCATTGATAACATTTTGGCTATAGAGGCAAGTGTGATTTAAAGGGAATCAGGTATGTGGGCTCGATGCCTGTGATTAATAAGAAAGAACTTTGGTGGTTTGAACTGACGTGAGTTGAGTAAAGGAGTTCTCCTGCGCCACATTCTTCCTTGACCTTTAAGAATGAACCCATGAAAAATGAGGATTGTGTACATTTTTAAAAGATGAATTTTCCACAAACACCCTAAGTCACTTTTAAATCTTGCTACACAGTAAAGCTCTATTGTCTAATGCTTCAGTTAATACCCGTTTCTTATTTAAATCTAAGCTCCAAAAATTAATGGTCTTATTAATTTTTGTGTATCTACTGAATACATTAATTAATGAACCAAGTGAACACTGAATAAATATAACTGAACACTTTAATTAATGTGCCAAGTGAATACTGAATAAATATAATTCTTTAGTCTAAGACTAAAGTAATCACTCTGACTCATTATTAGGAAGACACTGTAATCTAGAAGTTAAAGGATTTTTTCAAATCACTAAGGGTAGATAGCAATTGATAATTGCTGGTTCTGGCAATGATGACGACAAGAGTAACTTTCAATAGTGTCAGTGGAGGACGCCTCAGTTTTAGATTTTGACGCGTGCCAGTAAGGATGATGCAGGATTTGCTAGGGCTAGTGGTAATAACTAAGCTTCATCATTTACGCAAGCAGCTTGCACAGTGGAAAGCACATGGTCCTTGGTATTGGACCTGGACTCAAACCTTGAATTTGCCACTCATTAGATATTTGATCTAGAAATCACACAGAAGTAAAATCTATCTCAGAGGGTTGTTGTAAGGATTAGTAAGTCTTATGTAAGTAAAATTCCCAGCAAAGTGTTAGCAAATGGTAAGAACTAAATACATGTTAATTACTCTCTTTTTTAACCAAACTATACTAAGAAAACTGCAGAAACCAATGACTGACATTAATATTACCATACATGCTTCTCTCCAGAGGATATTCACCTTAGTTTTACATTCTTGGACTTTGTGATGATTTCCATTATGAAGAGTTGCTGGAGTGGCATATAACTCTTTTTCTGATCTATTGATTTTCACTTCATTAAGGATTTCACCACCATAGTCTCCCAAATGATATCTTGAAAAGGTAAGAGAATATAAAAAAATGTTGCACAGTTTAAAAATAAAGAAAACCAGTGATACCTCAATAAATTGGAATACAACTAATCAAACAGAGCCAACAATTAATAAGATTATTCTTAAAAGAGAAAATCTGCATGAGTAAAGAAATTCATAATTGGGAATTAGTAAATAAAACTAAACAAAGCCGCCCCCTCAAAGCAAAAAATCTCTAAGGTACCCAGAAGACGAATTTCTCATATATTTTATATTCTGAAGCACTGGGAAATGATGTTTAGAATGCTAACTGCAGGAATCACATAAAATTCTGTTAGGTTTAGGTATAATCTAATTATGCAGAAAAATGACTAATACATTAGAGAACACATTTTCAAAATGCATCTAAACAAGAAAATGTTTTCTACCTAATCAGAAAATAAAATAAATTAAATATTAATTTCCCTCAAATTTTGTTTAACAGAAACTTTAATACAGAGATTTGGACAAAATGATCTCTAAATGTTTTTTCGAAATACAATTCTTCAATGATTCTGAAAAAAAAAAAAAATCAGGTGTATTAGAGGATTTATACTACACACAAAAATATCCCCAAATTTGCACTCCAAATTATAACAATCTGCTTAAAAACAAACAACTAGTAACCACAATTCTTCCCCCAAAATGTAGATTTTGTTAGAGAATCAATTTCAATCGTTTTAAATTTAACAACAAAAAAATCTCTCATCTGGTTATATATTGCCTATGATTTGATGAAAGCTGCCACTAGCATGTAACTATAGCAATGTTACCTTTTTTCCACAACTTCTAAGGTTAAGTGCAGTAATTCTCGTTTTGTTTTCTCTCTTCTCTTAATCATTTCCAAAATTGTTATGGCTCTACTAAACTCTCGTCTTAGTTTCAACATCTTTTCATAAGAGGCTTCATCATTCTTACGATTCTATTGAAAAAAAATGACAAGTAAATGTTTATTGTTTAAGTCACACAGCCAATCAGTCTATGGTATTTTTGTTCCAGTAGCCCAAATGAACTAATAAGACATAGACACACATATGTATATAAACACATAGACACACACATAAATTATTAACAGTACTGTTTTAAAGATTTTTTGAGAAAAATGTAAGATATAATGCCCCTTTATCCCTAAACATGTTTAAAGACAATATTCTATTATATAACCACAGTAATTATCAAAATCAGGAAATTAACATGATATATTCCTATTATCTAATTTATAGATTTAACTCATATTTAACCAACTGTCCTACTAATGTCCTCATATTTAACCAACCGTCCTACTAATGTCCTTTATAGTAACAAATATAATTGTTACATATATTTTTATGTATTTATTTAACTGTTGCTACAAAGGGCATTAAGTGGGACAACAGTAATTTTTATTATTAAAATTCATTAAAATGTAATAAATTCTTTTTTCTGTCTAAGATCTGATTCAGGATTAAAATTACATTTAGTTGTCACATCTCTTTAATCTCCTGGTTTTCTATGGTGATCATGACCTTGGTATTTTTGAAGAGTAGAGGCCATTTATTTTCACAGAATGTCCCCTCAATTTGGGTTTCTTTGATGTTTTTCCACAATTAAATTTGGGTTACGTATTTTCAATAGGACTATCACAGAAGTAGTATTCTATCCTTCCCTTACCATATCACAAGTGAAATGATACCTATTTGTCCCATTAGTGCTTGATGACTTGATTAAGATGATGTCTGCCAGGTTTCTCTAGTGAAATTACTATTTTTCCTTTTTTAATTAGAACGTATGCTGTAGGAACTTTGTATCTTGTTTTTCATCAAATCTCCCCCCACTAGTTTTACATCCACTGATTCTAACTTTTGCCTGAAACATTATTACTGTGGTGGTTGCCAAATGGTGATTTTCAAATTCCATCATTCTGCTGACATTTATAAGTTGGAATTCTATTATAATGAAAAGTGTACCTTTCTCTTACCTATCTGTTTGTGTATCAATCATCCATTCATTCATTCATTCATTCATCCATTCATTCATTCATTCCTCCCTTTACATCAGCATGGTTTCATGGATTACTTATACTCTATGGGTATCCATTCCCCTTATTTTGACAATTAAACTTCCCCAGATCTGTTCAGTGGAGCCCCCCTTCTTCAAGCTGGCTCCTGAGGCCTTCTGACATGGCTCCAACACATTTCAACCTTCAATCACATTCTTACTTCCTGGCATAGCAGAATGTTCCAAGCTTATCTTTATACTTTCCCAGCCCCAAATCTGGACTCAACCATTTTTCTAAGGAGCCCTGGTTCCTTTTTATGGAAAACAGTATTTAAAATCACCATCTACATGCTAAGCATGTCCACTGCTACTGAGTCATTGCTTCTAGGCCCTCTCAGAGAACAGTTACGAAATACGTATGTGATATACGTACACATATACGCATGCACAGAGTTGTATTTATTCTAATCATATCAATATATTAAAATCTATGAGTTCATAATGACACCTTTACCATATGCTTTTAAGATGGCCCTACTCCCTGTATTCAAACCCACTCATTCCCTTAAGACGAGTGTCTCTGCTCAAGGCCAATTCCTTTCTTCCTATTCCAGTAACATATAGTTCTGATCTACTGCCAAACCCCTAGGGAAATCGTTCTCAAACTGCTGCACCTTAGAATTAACTATAGATCTTTTTTTTTTTTTAATTTTTTAAAAAATATATCTTTATTGATTTCAGAGAGAGGAAAGGAGAGGGGGAGAGAGAGAGAGAAACATCAATGATGAGAGAGTCATTGATCGAGCCCACAACCCGGGCATGTGCCCTGACTGGGAATCGAACCCCAATCGCCTGGATCCTAGGTCGACGCTCAACTGCTGAGCCACGCCTGGCCGGGCACTATAGATCTTTTTATAACCAAGGATAATTCACAGGTGACTGTTATATGCAGCCAGACTGACAACCACTACCATGAGAATTTCCCCTCCTGTTTGTCTAGCTTCTTCTGGGCCACAGGGAGAGAGAAGAGAAGGCACAGATGCTAACAGTCACATCTCTGGGGTTAAACGTATATGCTGATTCACGACTTCCCAATCGGTGCAGTTAGGCTTACTGGTGTCTTACGACTATCTCATTTAAGAACGGCCTAAAGCACTTCAGCACTCCCAAATTAAATATTAGTTTGGTGAATTAAGATTAAATTCTTGACTCCCAAGCAAGTATTTCAGACGTCTCTTACTTTAGCCTTTGCACCATCTACACAACTGTTTTTAATTCTGTGGAAACAGAGAAGGAAGTAGAGAATCTTTGGTAGCTGTATACATTTCTGCACATCCCAATGCTTGCCCACCTCCTAAACAACTGGGGGGGGTGGTGGTGGTATTCATAGTTGACTGCTTTCCCAACTTTCTCATTTTGAAACAAACATTTCTAACCAGCAACAGCGTGCATGAAGCGGAATGGTCTTTGGTCCCACAAGTGAAAATAGAGAGGAATAAAAAGACTCTTCAAAGGATGATGAAAACAACAGGTAAGAGAAGGGGTCAGAAGCAAGCTGGACTATTCATTACACAATGGTGAAGTGCCCCAACACAGGAACCTGTTACTAGCAACTCTCAATATGCACCGATTTGAGAAGAGTAATTTAACCTATTTAAGAATAAAACACATTTAAACATTTAGAATATTGTTTATATGTCAATAAATACTTCTAATTTCAAGTACTCACTAAAAGTCGACGAATTATATACTTTTCCCTCAAGACATTGCTAAAAGTCTGTTTTGCAATATATCTAAATTAATTACATTCCTTTTAAAAAGCAACTGGCAGTTCAAATTTTTCAATGATTCAGGTAAACCTTCCCTTCCTCATGCCCAATAATCTGTATTTATAAAGTTTTACAGTATTTACAAACTTATCTTACTCTAGTCTTTTCTAAGGAACTAAATCTTCATAAAATATCTTAGATTCCCTAAGCGAAGAACTAAAACACCAAGTTGAAAACTCAGCCCAGGTTAGGGAATGTCATCTACACTTGGGAAATCCAAGAAAGAGTTATATAAACTCTTAACCAGTAGGAGAGTTTCTCCTAAAATATACTATCCCTGGCACCTGTTATGCTTCCCAGCTGTTATATTAACAGCTGACAAAGACAAGCTTTCAATGTTAGGAGAAAAAGGAATCCACAGAAAACGCTTTGCTTCCAATTATCATTCCTTATGGTTTTTACATGAATATGTTCTTAATATTTTACAATGTTAGAGAATGTGTTAGCATGTGTGGAGCTTACTGTTAATCATGAGAAATGGAAGGCAGTGAATACCCCTCTGAAATAATGCTTTCCTCTATACCCTATCATTCCACAGCATGAGACCCGTATCTCTTACTTAAAAATCTGACACACACAGCTTCTGAAAGCCAGATGGGGACAAGTTTATCAATTTGAAATCTGACACAACTGACAACTCAGAAAAGGAGAAAAAGATTCCTGTGTTACGTCTGACTGTTGGCAGAACAGGCTTGAAAATGAACCTTTCGCTACTTCCCATGACCCTACAGTAGCTAGAGGTAGTACAATCCATTTTCATCTGCAAGGGTTAGAATACGGTTTCAAAGGAACTGTTAAGTTCTTAAGCTTCCCAAAGAAAGCGTATGTACAGACTGTACAGTTTGCTGAAGGAATCAAAACTTCCAAGGTACATAAAGGCATATAATTTCTCATACCACTTCAACTGCAAGTCCTAAATGGTGTGATCATTAGACTTACAAGGGGCATAGAATTAGATAAAAATTTACACAACTGGTCAATAGAAGCTACTGAAGAGCGGGATTTCTAACATAAAGCTCAACAATATCATTAACGCCCCTTTATTTTCAAAGTATTAAAAATTATTTAAGTCATTAGCAGAAAAAATACTTGTCTTAAATACTATTAAGGTATATTCAATTAAATCTAATTTGCACATTACCTTTCGAGTTTGCATTTTCTCTGTTCTCCTCCGAAAGGCAACATAAGGGTCATTGTTAGTAGAGCCATCTCTTTTCTCTTGCTTTATCTGAGGAATAAGGGACGGCCCCCTGCAGTTTTTACGTTTTCTCACCCAGTAGTCATATACCGCTTTAATAAGGTAATCATCTTCGTTTAGCAGCAGTTTTGCTTCTTGAAGTGTTACAAGCTAAATAAAAAACAAAACAAAACAAAAACATATCAACTACAATGTTTGAAAAAGACAAATCAAAGAAGTTAAACTATGCCTATGGTAAAAAACGTGGTCTGTTTAAAAATTATGATCAGATATCATGATGGCAAAAAACACAATTCAAGTCAATCGAACAAAGAATTTATTAATAAGATTTACATGAAAATTTATATTTTGTGCGGAGAGGTAGCAGGTACCATCCCTTAAAATACTAAGAAGCCTGGATGAATGATAGTTGGGAAGACTACAATATATTTATGACTTAGGTAAGACCTGAACTAGAAGACAACTAATATTCTATGATTCTACACATTTGAGGATCTACTAGTTTTCAATAGTCTCCTAACTTCTTTCTGTGTATTTATTTACCAACAGAAATTAGAAAATATGTTTCTTTTTCTCACTCTCCAAAGTAAAAGATAAGCACAGGGTGGGGCAAAGTAGGTTACAATTGTTCATATGGAAAATAACATAATTAGTAAGTAATAACACAAGAACAAACTGTTTTGAGTACTCACAACTGTAAACCTACTTTTGCTACACCCTATATGCTCTAACATAGTGCAACTAAATATATAATGCCTGTTTTGAAATTGTAAAAGGGCACAGCAAGTTTCTAGAAGTTTGAACACTATGCAATTTCTCTATCCAAGCTGGTTATATACTAGAGAATCATTGTTCTCAACACTCATGCTGCTAATGACTTTATGATGACAGTGTCCTAGGATGGTTCCTCTAAGAGCTCTGACATCGGTGCCTCAGAGATCTACTCCTTTATCAATGCAGCCAGTACAATGTGGACATATCTTAAAATAATGTTTGTAAAAATATGCTTGGTTACATCTGTTTCCTTGCTTTCTTATGAAAATCAGATAGGCCAATCAACTTTAGCAGAACGGATTTGGGGTTACACATATCCATTTACAGTGAACTTTAGAAAAAGATCATGGAGGAGTTTTAGGGCTAGAAAGCCTCATTGAAATGATGTTATCTCAATTTTTTTTTTTTACTTTTATCATGTTAGAGATTAATTTCAAAACAGGCTGACATAGCGCCTAAGAAATGTATCCCTAAAACTTGGAAATGAAGAGAAAAATTTTCTCACTCAAATTATAAGATCAACATATGAACTGTTCTGTTTTATGAAGTCATCAAAAACAGGCATGACCTACCAAATAAATTTCTGGTATGATCTGACTTATACTAGTATAACTTCATGGGACTTCCAGTCCTATGATGGTGATTACTAGGGCTCATTAATTGTTTTTTAATATAATTTGGCTGCCACAATAGTTTGACCACAGGAAGAGAATACATTGATGATGTAAACTCAAGTATTCTAGTCCACATAATAATTATATTTAGTGCATTAAAAATTTAAGTGGTCATTCTTTGGTTTATTCAATGTCTCAGTGGAGTCAGCTTAATTGCATCTGAGAGACTGAGAAATTTGGTCTTTGAAGTGGAGGGCCAGATCCTAGAACATGAGACCAAACCAAGAGAGTAAATATTGCCAAACATCAACTTTAAATGGACACTTTCCTACAGTTAGCTGAAGTTCTCTGGAAAGGTGATGTATGCCCACAAAGTCTACAAGGACAGTGGCAGAGTAAGAATCAAGCTTTGTGGATCTAGTAAAATCCCACCTCATGCTGAGAGCACCACAGCACCTCTAGCGGCTCTCATGTGCTCCAGGGCCCACGGGAAACAATGCTATGACTATGCTGCATGTGCTTGAGCTGTTTGGTCATCCTGCTTCTGATAAAATTTTACAACATTCACTACTCATTAAATAAAAAAACTTAATCTAATCTGAGAGTGAGGAGAAGGATCGGATTCTTTCCATCAACCAGCAGAGCAGTAGTGAGTTTCTTATATAACAATACTATCAAAATAACACTGCTTACTTTCCTGTTGCAGGAGGCATTAGGGGATTAAAACACTGCCTCAAATTTCCTTCTCTGGTGCTTCTTGCTCCTCTAGAAATATCCTTCTGCCTGGTTGTTAAGTACCCTCTTTGAATCTCAGGTGATAAGAATTCAACACACAATTTATAGCTAAACATCCTGACATTTCTTTCTAGTGTTAACTGTATTTTCTTAGTTGACTGCTGTTTTTATGTTGTTATACAGCACATTTTTATTTTACTGAATAATCTTGGCTTTAATCATTCTGTAAAAATTATCTGTAGCTATTCTAAGGCAATTAGTATCACTGTATCACCATTATCATGATGACAGCATCAGTTTGAGTGAGCAAGAACTATTTGCAGATAAAGTAGTCCCAAATTATGTCGCATGATTAAAACCCCCCAAATCAGAATTCTACTACTTTTGAACTTCAGAAAAATTCTGCCATTTAGCACTTTGTATACTAGAAAGTAGCAGAAAACAGAATTTAACTGGCAAAAAATCTGGGGTAAATTTAATATTCCCAAAACAGCTCTGAGCTGTTTGATTTACTTATTTTGGAGGGTTGGGGATGGGGAGATTAAAAATTATTCCACTATCACGCCGGCCCGTTTGCCTCAGTGGTTAGAGCACCAGCCTGCAGTCTGAAGGGTTGTGGGTTAGATTTCCAGTCCAAGGCATGTACCTCAGTTGCAGGCCCGATCCCTGCCCTGGTCAGGGAGCGTGTGCGGGGCAATCAATCGATATGGCTGTGTCTCTCTCACATCGATGTCCCCCAACCCCCCCAAGAAAAATCAATGGAAAAAATATTCTCGGGTGAGGACTAACAAAAAATAAATAAAATAAAAATTATTCTACTATATGGCCTTTTCTTCTAGACTGTTATTAGCTCCATGAAGACAAGGATCATTTAGTTTGTTTATATACAAAATGTATGATCTAGCAACTTCAATAAATATATTTTAAACATACAAATTAATGTTACATGTAAATGTTAGTTTTATAAATATCTAAAATAGTCAATTAAGCAATAAGTAGTTAATCATCAATTACTATCAGCCCCTCATTGTATTACAGGTTGTGAGGAAGATAAGTAAAAAAACTTTAAGATAAATCCACAACCTAAAGAAACTTACACTATGGCAAAAAAAGGTAAAGTAACACAAATACGAATTAAACAATAAGAGAACAATGTAAGAACTCTGGAACTAAGTGTTAGTGCAGTAAAATACAGGAAACTGTCACAAGAACACTACCTAAGAGGACCTGTAGGAGTAGCCTGAGATACAAGAATAAATTCAGATGGCAGATACTGAAGAAAATAGCAACAAATAAGATACAGAGGAGCAATGAAAGAGGAGATGGAACAGGAATCAGGAAATGTGGAGGTCAACAGCATCCAATACAATAAGGGCTGGAAAGAGGCTCCTGATGACCAGTAGAAGGCCGTGCACTGGTGGACCTTATGCAATTTCTATAAACTGAAATGGATTGTGGTGGCTAATCTTTTGAAAATTTAATGGTGATAGACAAAAGAAAGACAAAAGGTTGTACTTTATTAAGAAAGACAGGGTCAAATGCATGGACCCTTGGCACATTTTTGGGCAGAGAAAAGAAATGAGAGAAGAGACAACTGAAGATGAATATTCAAGGAATATGCAGATACACAAGGAAGAGTCTGAGTTAGAAACTTAGGGACTAAAGGAAAGGAATAAAAAAATACATGATTCTGCGTTCTGTGAGTCACCGGAGAGAGAAGGAATATAGCACAAGGTCATCTGGAGTTGAGAGTAAGTGAAGTTTTGGAAAGTTTAAAGTTGAGAGGTCTGTGGAACATCTAGGTGGAGATACCAACAGGCAGCATGAACAGAGAAAAAAGAAAATCCTGGAGCTTGAAAGAGGTCAGGCTAAAAGTATATGCATTGTTACACCCACAAAAATGCTTGTTGAGGTGATTTCACCCCAAAATACATAGGCTAAGAATACCAAAAACAGAATTTCAAGAAATCCTAATGTTTGCAGGAGTTGAATAAAAAGAAACTGACAAATGAAAATTAGAAGGAATAGTCGTGGAAAATAATAAGAAAAAACAGAAGGAATGATTTATATTCTAAAGACTAAAGATGATGACAGTCAAGAAATAAGGAGAGCTCAAATTAAACAAAGGAAAGGGACTGAAAACAATCACAGAGTTTAGCTACAGGAATTTTCAATAATGACTTCATACAGTAATCTCCACAGAATGATGGGGGCAATAGGTTTGCCCAAGTCTGTCTTTTATGCCTTTCTCTGCTAACCTAATAAGAATTGGTTTAACCACAAACCTGATTCCTTACCCTTGAATCTAATACTATGCTAGCCAGCCCCCCGTATGGAAAAATAAAGAAATCCATGAATCCACAGATAAGAGACTTGGAATGAGAACAGCCTTTTGGTATCTTTAATCCTATGACAAAACCTCCACCTTCATCCGCACCACTGAAAGCAGATGCATGGTGTCATGCTCTAAGCCTAGCCAGTTACTTTAGGGCCTAGAACCTTGTCACTGAGCAAAAAGAATTAAAATATGATAATGCTGATTACATGTGTATAGTTCATTTGTATTGTTTACATGCTTTCTGTTGTATCCTGTCCTTACTTAGAAAATGAGCTCCACAAGGTGAGAACTTCTGTCACCTCTCCTGCTCACCTGAGCACTAAATAAATATTACTGACCAAATGAAGGAAAGCATATTAAAGAACAGAGAGGTCAAGGCTTCTGATGATATAATTTCGGCCACCTTGAGCAATTTCTGAGCAATCATGGAAAACAGTAGAATACCGAAAGACTGATTGAGCCTAAGATTGCTAGGAAAATTTGTATATAAAGAAAAACTGAAACTATATCTGATGCCAGTGATCAAAATCCTAGAAAAATTGTGAGCATTAACTACTCACAATTATCAAAATGAATATCAATTTGATAATTAAAACAAATTTCCAATTAAAAAAAATAAGGCATTTTCTCAAAAAGTCAATTAAGTTGAATTTTTACAAAATTCAGCTTTCAATATACTTCTTTGGATGGTACACTAAATTTTACTTTTCATTAAAAATGGGGGGTGGATTGGTAGAAATGCTAAGTATGCAGCCAAGTCACTTTACAATGCAAAAATTTTTAGAAATGTTCTGAATAGCTGATAATGCTTCAGGAATTCAAAGGACTTAAGTTAGGAGGTGAGAAAATTAATGTCTGCATGAATAAACTAATGAAAAGTTTTAACAGTCTATTTTAAAAAGTTTATATCTGTAACTTTTACATTAATAACAATTAGTTATTAATACATCACACAGACATATCAATTATTTTAAAAGTTTATTTTTAAAATCTAATTACAATATCAACACACAATCATAGTAAAATTGGAAAACAGAAAAATAGAATAAAAAACATAAAAATTACCAATAATTTCATCACTTAAATATAACCATTGTTGGCATTTTATTGGACTTTCTTGTTTTTTTATTCTATGCACAGGTATAAATGTAAAGGCTTTAAATAAAAGAAAGAGTTTTCCATTTAAATAACTCTGAATGCTGTTTTTGAAATCTAATATAAAACGAACAACTTCCTGTGGCATTAGGTATCATTCAAACTCATGACTTTGAATGGCTGTATGATATTCCACCATAAAGACAACCTATAAATTATTCTGAACATCACTGTTTAAAAATCTTTGACATTTTCACTAATTATTACTATATTTTTTAATCCTCACCTGAGGATATTTTTTCCATTGCCTTTCAGAGAGAGTGGAAGAGAGAGAAACATTGATGTGAGAGAGACACATCGATTGGTTGCCTCCTATAGGCTTCCTGACCAGGGCCAGGGATCGAGCCTGCAACAGATGTACGTGCCCTTGGCAGGAATTGAACTGGAGACCCTTCAGTCCTCAGGCCAACACTCTTAACCACTGAGCAAAACCGGCTAGGCCACTAACTATTATTCTTGAGAATAATTCCTAGAGGTAGGATTACTAAATCAAAAGGTATAAACATTTTATACCTGGTATATGCTGCCTAATTGCTGTCAAGAAAGACATGCCATTTTAAATTCTTTATACCAAATAAAAATTGTCTCACTAAGGAAAATTCTTTATTACTTTGTGAATAATTTTTTGTTCTCTTAAAATTTAGTACTGTATAAAGAAGTAAAACTAAAATACATTTAAAATGATAATAGTACCTTAATATAAATCTGAGCAACTAAGCAAGATTTGGTATGAGATGTATGCCTTAGAGACCCAACCAAGCAAATTTAGTTACTGAAGCACCAAAAAGACAGCCCTATGAAAAGAATCAAGATGATATTATAATATTGTAGCTAGTATTATTTTATATCCAAACAATAAAAAAGTCAGAACAGTGCTCATTGAAAGAAATTATGCTTAAGTATTCAGTTTAAGAAATACTGTAAATAGAAATTCTAGGATGTCAGGAAAAGAAATTCAAAAGACAGTAATATGCAATATACTTAAGTCTAAAGAAAATGTAAAACAAAGCTACTAATTGGGTTAATTGTAAGACAAAAGACATTTTTACAATGTACAATACCTGATTAGAACTGGCTTTTTCAAGTCTGTCAATCATAATTTCAAATTGCAAAGGCTTAATTTCCATCTTTCTGTTAAGTCTATTTAATAAGGTCTCATCCTCTGAATCCATATCATAATCTGGTTGCTCGTTGTCTAGATTAAAGGCTAGGAAAGAAAAGGAAAAGTTTTCAAACTGAGGAGAAAACATAGATACATACAGTGTTTACATTTGACCACAGAATATTCTTAAACTATATGGCATTGACCAAAGAGGAGCTCATGAGCAGACATCTAAAAATTAGCTTCAGAGACAAAAGGAAAAATGGGGGAAAAAAGTTTTAAAATTCATATATAAAGTTTAATAAAAGCAATAACAAAAATTTCTTTTAAAAACAAAGGCTCACAAATTTATGCTAAAATATAGAGTAGCAATTATTAAAAATGATGCATATTTATCAACATGACAATTTGGCAGCATAATGAGAAGCTATGAAACAAAATTAAGAATCCAGAAATAAACTCAAATACAAAATATAATGGAAACAGCATTTAAAATCATTAAGGATAAAACTGATTATTTAAAAAGGAGGTGAGAGCCCAGCCAGTGTGGCTCAGCAGTTAAGTGTTGCCCTATGAATCAGGAGATGGAGGTTTGATTCCAGGTCAGGGTACATGACCAGGTTGTGGGCTCAGTTCCCAGCAGGGGGCATGCAGGAGGCAGCCAATTGATGACTCTCTTATCATTGATGTTTCTATTTATCTCTGCCTCTCCCTTCTTCTCTCTGAAATCAATGAAAATATATTAAAAAAAAAAATAAAATAAAAAAGGGGGGAGGAGATGCTGTCATGACAAATGATAGAGTAGTTATCTTAAAAAAAAAATTAAGTTTGATTCCTACTGCATTCCACATACCAATAAATGATATATTCATCAAAATTTTATAGTGGAAAATAAAACACATAAAAATATTAGAAGAAAATGCAAGGAGAAAATGTTGTATGGGCAGGTACAAGCTCAGAAATCATAAACCTGACTAAATAAGTGCAAATACAATTAACAATAGTATGTTTTACTCATGCGACAGACTAAAATCTAAAACTTGATGATAAACTACTTTGAAATTTATGGGGGGGGGGGAGGCCTTCTCAAACACTATGATAAGGAAATTATAAACTCCTATTATTTAGTTTCTATCTGTAGAAATTTACCCGATAAACTTACACAGAGATAAAGACATAGAAAAAGAGTTTTAGATGTGACACTGTAAGAACTAAAAAATATAAAACAAGTAATGGGCTAGAGAAATGAATGATAGCTTATACATAAATTGAAGCCCTGAGAATGAATGACAATTATGTATGTGTTCTTATATGAAATGAAACCAATCTTCACAAACATTAAGTAAAAAGAGTTAAGGTACAGCCCTGGTCGGTGTGGCTCAGTTGGTTGAGCGTCATCCCATGAACCAAGAGGTTGCTGGTTCGATTCCCAGTCAGGGCACATGCCCAGGTTGTGCATGCAGGAAGCACCTGACTGGTGTTCTGCTCTCACATCGATGTTTCCCTTTTCTCTCATTTTTCCTTCCTCTCTCTCTAAAAATCAATAAAAATATTGAAAAAAAAGCTAAGGTACAGAATACTGTATATAGTGTACTAAGCTATGTTTTTAAGAGTGAGGAGTGTGGGAGTGTGTATGTCTGTGTATAATCTTATAAATGCACAGAATATTTTATCATTATTATTTTTAATCCTTGCCCAAGGATATGCTTATTTTAGAGAGAAGGGAGAGAAACACTGATGTGAGAGAGAACATCAATTGGTTGCCTTCTGTATGTGCCCCAATGGGGGACTGAACCAGCAATCTAGGTACGTACCCTGACTGGGAATCGAACATGCAACTTTTCGGTGTATGGGATGATGCGCCAACCAACTGAGCCACACTGGCCATGGCTGCACAGACCATTTTAAAAGGATACTGGCAATAAGTTTTCCACTTCTAGGAGTGGAATTTTAAGTAGAAGTTCAAGGATAGTGGAGAGAATTTCTCTTTGTTCCTTTCACACTGTCCTCTTTAAGTGTAAAGCATTTTAAGATTTAAAACTAAAGGATTTTAAGCATGTATATGCATTAATTTTTAAAATACAAAGAAAGAAAAAAAACTAAAGTGTCACAAAGCATGTGTTGAAATCACATGTCAAGATTTAGCACTAGGCAATGAAGGAGATACCAATCACCAACAGGCTGTCTATTCAAAGACAATCTATGTATCACTGTATAAATGAATATCCCATATTCATACTGTGTGGAATGGCCTGGCATTCTCAGATTCAGCACGGCATTCTTAAAGTTAGTTTATAACACAGGAACAGGAACAGATGTGTATATTTATATAATTTTAGTAAAATCAGCCCCCAACAGATAGTACTGATGGACATAAAAATATTTGAAGGCAAAAATAACAGATCATATCTGAACTGTGGTTAATTGTTTAATAAAAAGGGTGCACTATATAAAAACAACAAAATAAAAATAAATGTTAGCTAACACTTATAACCTTATATAGCACTTAATATGGGCCTGGCAGTGTTCAAAGTACTTTATACACACTAAATTATCACAACCACTCTTAACTGGCTGGTAATATTTTACCTCCGAATGAGCTGTACATTCTAAAATCTGTAAAAATTTTATTGTACTTAACTTCTATCACATAGTACAAAACAAAGTTAATAAATCAGAGAAGTTATGGCTATTCATGAAATAATGACACAGATTATTATAAAATACTCCTGAAAATAAAATTTTCTTCCTTATCTTGTTATGTTTTTATTATATGATTAATAATAATTCACAAGTATGCTTTTAAAACAATTCAACCTGCATCAAATTCAATGACAGATGATGTGGACCCCTAAACTATGCAGATCACTAAAAATTACTCTTCTATCTATAAAGTGATGTTGTATTTGGAAATTCAGAGACAGTCAATGATTTGCCGTTAGTGCACAGACTAACAAATAATAAAAATCAGGAAATCTGATCATGATTAGAAGACATTTTAGAGGAAGATGGGTTTTTAAAAATGTTGAGTAGAGTTAAGCCAGTATACTGAATTTCTAAGTTAAACACAAGTTTTCGAAAGTTCAAGGTCACAGCTATATATGCAAATTTTGCACGGCCATCTTTTACACACCTACCAATCTTACTCACCTCTTGTTCCTCCACCTGTCATCTCTGGTTCTATGTTCTTATTCTATTCTTACAAAAGGCAGTGCCCTAGCTTCTGAGGCAGGGGAAGGGACAAGAAAAGCTGGGAAATAGTTAGAAAAATAAATAGTGAGAATTGACAGGTCTTACAATATGTTAAATCAGAACCAGGGCAAAGACTTGCACTAGCACTGTAAGTTTTCTGATGCTACCATTTCTAATGTCATTCAAAAACTATACAAGAATTTGATTACAGACTCGGGTATTCTGTTGCTTCCAAACACCTATACGGTTTCATCTGTACCTCTTCTTTACCACATATTGTATTATCTCCTCTACAAGACAAAAAAACAAACAACAAAACAAAAACAAAAACAAAAAAAATTCTTTAAAAAGTGTGGTTCAGTTGGTTGGAGTGTCATCTGTACACCAAAAGGTTGTGGGTTTGAACTCTGGTCGGGGCACATATGGGAGGCTCTCTCTCTCTCTCTCTCTCTCTCTCTCTCTCTCTCTGTCTCTCTTTCCCCTCCTCTCCTCTAAAGTCAATTTTTTTAAAAACATATCCTCAGGTGAGAATTAAAAATCACATTTCTTAAATATAATATAAGCGATTCTTTTAAACTACAAGCAGAACATATTCTCTGTTTTTGAATACCTCACTTTTTGAAACCCAGAAAGCTTTTTCCTGTTAAAAAAGAAATCTTACAAATACTGAGTTAGTTTCACAAGCCAGTCAACCCAACAAAACAAGTAAAACAATCCCTATTCCCTGCCCCCCCCCCCAAAAAAAAAGAGAGAGGAAGGAGGCAGGTAAAAGGTTGAAAATTTCTTGATGTAGTTATCAATAGAATTCATGTATGAACAAGGGTAAGGACAATAAGGGCATGTATCTGTGTGTATGTGTAGAAGACGTCCTGTGGTGAAGTTAATTGAGCAATAAACAATTAAAAAAGAAAAGTGAGGGAACTAGAGAGGGAACTAGAGAGTGTATATGATCACTATGAGAAGGAAAAAGGAAGTGGGAAGGAAAGTAGATCAGAAAGATTCATAGGGTGGTCACCACTGTTCAGGGAAATTTGGCCGCTTTCTGGCAGGGGGAGCAACTGCTCCTATGTAGGTAAGGAAGTAAGTAATAACCTGCTGTTTGAATACATCAGACTTAGAGAATATTAGAACAGAGTTGGTCTAAAATTAGCTGGTAAAGAAATATTACCTCTAGTTAAAAGAACCTTTCAAAGTCCCTTAGATTGCCTTTTATTTGGATGTACTGGGTGGGGCAAAAGTAAGTTTACAGTTGTTTGCATGAAAAAATAAAAAATAAATAATACAAAAATAAACTTTTGGGTACTCACAACTGTAAACCTACTTTTGCCCCGCCCTGTATTCATATGCAAGTATCTAACAGGCATAGCTATCTAATGGAATAAAAATAGACAGAATCCAGGAGAAGAAAAAATATAAGAAAATTTTCCAGAGCTAAAAAACGTCAAGAAGTTTTCAGATTAAAAGGTGTTTACCAGCCATGGCAAATGAGTGTTAAGCAATTCAATGTGGCATATAATGACTGACCAGTTACTGCCCATGATGCCGTATTATTATGAATTAGTATTTCCATTCAAATCTCCAGGAGGGAAAAGGGCAGGAAGAAGACTTTCAGCTTCTCCCCACCCTCCCTTTCACGCCCTCTTCAGCCAGGAAGGAGCGACTTAAACTGACCAGTGAACTGGGAAGAGAACCTCACCAGCTCAAACTTCAAGTACATAACCTCTCACGGTTCTTCCTTTCCTTGGAGAAGGTGCATTCTAGTCGACCCTCTACTACGGGGCTAATGCTGTCCTGTATGAGACCTGCTCTGTCAGCGACCAGCTAGTGGTGAGGTAAGTTTGTCTAAATCAAGGATTAAACATTAATTAGGTTGTCTGTTAAGGCCATATAACTATGTCTTGCATTCCAACACC